TTGAGATTTCTGTCCTATATTTCTAAAGAGAATGAACCATTTTGTCACCATCCCTCCTATTTTACCATTGCAGAGTCTTTATTTGATCCCTAGAATTGAGCCCAATTGAAATTTTACCTCACTTAACCTGACATGGAGGTCCATCTTCAAGAGATGGTCTGACCGACATGTAATCAAGGGCTCGTCCGGGACCAACGAGCCACAGATCTTAATGTTTTCCCATAAAAAACATTTTTGTGCCTCCACGTATATAACTTACATTAGACCCTTTCATATAATACAAAAAACAGCATTTTGACAAAGTTACTCATAGAGTTTGATTATGAGAGAGTCAGAACCTCTGTTGTGAAGTCTAAGACAATGGTCCCCTGCCGAAACAGTAAATTCCCCCGTTCAGGTTTGGAGTAGGGTACTGCAGATGCAAGACAGTAAGGAAGTGCCTGCAATGATAGCCGCAACAATGGCACACGGCAGAATGATGTTCTTCTCCGGAAGCGTAAAAGAAATCTGGATTAGGCCTAATGCTCTGCTGAAGACATGCTTCTTGTTTTGTGTGTAAGCAGCTTTTTAGCAGCTTTGTTTAAATGTTTTGCTTCAAGCATAAATTTTAAATACACATTACCGGTGAGGAATTTTTAAAGCTCTCAACTTTAAGGAGGTTAAGATGCTCCCTAAGGTTGTGCCTTTGAAGGTCTCTATAAGCCTCTCTGGGAGAGTGATAAGACTCTTGGATATGCTGCATTTACATTGAGCAAAAGCTCTGACTTATGCTGTATTTTGTTGCTATGGCACAAGCCTCAGGGGTTTTATTGACTTAATTGCATATTATAACCTAGACAGGGATTATGGAATTATCTAAATGAACAATGTTTATTGATGAATGCTCTAGCTTTAATTGATCCACATGTTGTTTATATTTAGTCACAATTACTGATAAACTCTCCTCTTTTACTTTCTTTCTTATTCAGCACCTCCATGCATAGCGACTGCAACTACTGTTGAATATTCATGTTGACTAATTCATGCAATAAATGCAGGGACCAGGGTGCTGATATTTCTTATAAGCATGCTGTTGAGTTGGGTTTTCTCTACTACTGCAGCTCTCAGCTCTGCATTTACATTTGCACTGTATATCTGTGAGCCTACAAAAAGGGCAGCATTTTAATTCTCATGGTGTGTTGCTACCTGTCATGAGTCCAGAGGTTCTTATCCACTCCATGTAAATCCCTGTGGTGCTGTGCAATTTGCATTATGTTGATCACAGCAAGTAAGGCCCATTTTTATTTATGTATTTTATTAGGGGTGGTTTATATAAATACAGGCCATTTACAGACCACTGAGGGGGTAGGGTGGTCATCCTCTGACCAAAAGGTCAGTGGTTGGATCCCAGTCTTCCCCATCTACATGCTAAAGTGTCCTTGGGCAAGACACTGAACCCCTGAATGTGTGTGTGAATGGCAATATACTGTAAAACACTTTGAGTGGTAATCAAGACTGGAAAAGTGCTATATAAATACAGACCGTTCTCCATTATCTCCTCGTCAGACCTATACTTGTGTAAGTAAAACAGATATACTTCATCTGGCTTCCTGGGTGGCTGTAGCTGAGGGGTAGAGTAATCATCCTCCAACCAGAAGGTCAGCAGTTTAATCCCCAGTCTTCCCATCTGCATGCCAAAGTGCCCTTGGGCAAGATGCTGAATCCCAAATTGGAATCTCATAGAACAGAAAGAGCTGCTCATTGATGCACTGTATGAATGTGTGTGTGAATGGGTGAATGAAAAACTGTACTGTAAAGAGCTTTGAGAGGTCATCAAGACTAGAAAAGCTCTTTATAAATACAAACAATTTCTTTTCTTTTAAAATATCATATGGCATCTCTGACTTTACTGATCTAAAAGCAGGGTCAAGCTCGATGGACTTCTATCATTTAAACCAGTGTGACACTGATTCACATTCCAACACAGTAGGTGGCGGTAATGTACGTTGACGCCAATAGACCGAACAAAGATGAAGAAGACAGAAGTCCATCTATCATAATGCTGTATGGTTACATCCGACCTTTCTGCTCTTATACCACTAGATGGCACTAGAGTTCTGTATGGAACAGGTAACGGATGCAGCACTGACAGAAATGTAAAAGATTTAAAAAGTAAATCTTGCACATTCAGACACCAAGTCACAACATCAACATCAGTTAGGACGGTGTAACACGATGAGGGGCACAGGGCATGGCTTTGCATTATTTTTGAAATATCTTTTATAATTGGATTATATTGTGATTTAATTTGCTCAAACTATAGCAACTATTTGGGCTACTCATAATAATGTGTGGTTTTTTTTCTCCAGAGGTGCACCTGAGTCGAACAGAGCGAAAAGGCACAACTTTAGCCCTATGCTTTGCATGTTCATGTCCTCTTGACATTTACAACTGTAATAACTTTATAATAATAACTTCATTTATGGAGTAAAACAGACAGGTCATAAAAACTATGCCAACGTTTGCATTATCACGAGGTACTTTTATCACTAAAACTTTGTTCCAATGTACACAAGAAAAAGATGTACTTACATCCTTTGTGTTAGTATTGTATGGAAATGATGAGAAGCAATTTAAAATGTGGACTAGACCAGAATTGTATGGTCACAACTATAAAAAGATCTTAATGGCCTTGTCTTCCTCAAGTCAATATGACGCTCTTGAATGGATGCGTGTGAGTGGACGTGTTCATTCCCTCACGGGGGGGGGGGTGCGCCACGCAGCTCCCCCCCTCCTTACAGCAGTGGTACGCTCCGTGTTGGAGCCGTCCAGCTCATTGACCGGTGAACAATCCACATCAGTACCAGCAGAGACCCGGAGCTCTTCCATCCACACGCACACAGCGAGCTGCACCCTCCAGCCTCTCCGCCCGCCATGAAACAGACTCTGGCTGAACTGATGAGGATGAGCAGGATATGCCGGATGGTATTTGCCACTTGTTTGGGATCCTTTATTCTGGTCGTCTTTTATTTCCAAAGTATGTTCCAGCCAGGTAGGGTGGCTCTTCTCTCTCCCTCTCGCGTGTAGAAATGTGTGTATGGGATCTTGTCTGGCACCTCCTGGCGCGTTGACGCGTCCGTTTGTTCAGTCTGTACAGTAACGCAGCAGATAAATGATCGATACTTGAGTCATGTGGAGGCGTAAACACTGATTCTTCCCTTTCTTTGGCACATTGTCTTGTTGCGCGTTTGGATGCTTGAACGCGAGCAGCCGCGCGCAGTTCGCTGGCTCCCTCTCAGCTGACTGGAGATGGCAGGGAGGCTTTTTGTTTCCAGAAACGTGGCTCGGAGGAGAAAGGGCTTTGGCAAAGTGAGCACTCGGAGCCTGAGGGCGATCGGATTCGATCCAACCAGAGGTTCTCACCACCTGGATCCAGGGAATGCATCAATTGTCTAATGGAAACGGATCATTTGCAGTCCACGTTTAAAAGGAGATCATCTTTAGGGTCTTTTAAATGCGATGCCGCGCACGCCTACGCCTTTAATTCATCACACCAACGTAAACCACTGTATTTACACATTCTACGTTAATCTGGGTTATTTGATTGGATTCTGACAGCAGCGGCTCTGTCAAAGGATCCTGCGTTTTTACGCGTAAAGTAGAAGCGCACCGACTGTACAGCGGTGGAGCCTCAGTGCTGCTGACCTGCTGTACAACAGGTTTACTGTATAAGGAGAGAGGGACTGAAGCTTTCTGGGTATTTGCTCTCCATGAACAGAAATGGAGCAGCTCCCTACAAATGATTATTTAATAGGAGACAGAGAGTGTGCATGGTTCAGCGGCAGAGCGACTGTCTGTATAATTCCATGTCATTTCAGGTTAAGGTATCAATCTATAAATGATGGCTCTTATTGGATCAGCCCTGTGTTGTCCAGTAATGGGGTAAAAGGTGTAGTGCCAGAGAACAGAAAGGCACAGTGTCACAGCAGTGATGTGGAGACCTGCTGTATTTGAGTGATGGGGCAGCAGGGATAAAAGATGGATGAATGGGGAATTTCACACCAGCATGAAGCTGAGCAGACGTGCTGCCACAGCCTGACCCAGGAGGCACATTTCTCCCCATGCGCCGCCTCTGTATGAATGAGCTGTGGTTCCGCTGGCTGCAGTTGACTTTTCAAATCTCCACAAAGAAACTCACCGTAACACACTACTTCAGGGAACTTCTGCATCAGTGTTTGGAGAGTTAGATCAGATAGCCCCAAACCTTTTTGAATGTCAGCAACCCCCAAACAGATTGATAACCGGACCTGATTAAGTCCTTTGTTTTGTTGGCACTAACTTTACTTACATACCCTCCTGCTGTATGCGTTACAGTAATTGTCACCAACACTTCTAAAGGATAAAGCATTAAATAAATCAAATTAGGTTCATGGTTGATATGGACTGTGCTTGTGTAGACATGGTTTACAGAAAACACTCTCACAGCCAGAAATGTTCAGTGTGTTATCCTCTTGGGGCAGTCGTCCTCTATCCAGAAATCCGGCGGTTTGATCCCAGTCTTACCCATTTGCGTGCCAAAGTGTCGTCGGGCAAGAAAATTGCCCCTCATAAAAAAGAACGCTGTCCATAGATGCATTGTATGTACGTGTGAATGGCAATAATCTGTACTGTAAAGCAATTTGAGTGGCCATCAAGACCAGAAAAGTGCTATATGAATACAGACCATTTAACATTCATATGGTGGCACTGATTCTATTTGGGGTCAGTAACCATAAAATTGAATTGGATTTTTTGGTGATTAGTTTACCAATCACAGATACAGAGCAGAGGAAAGTTTATTGTATTAAATCACTTTTATGGCTGCAGTAACCCACCAGGCAGAGCTGTGACGACCTGCCTCCTGCAGCTTTCTTTTCTGAGTTACATTTCAATAGAGCGTCACATGGCTGACGCTCTGAGACTGTAGCTCCCTGTGATTGACCTGCTGCAATCCACCTCCCTGGCCTCCAGAGCGAACACCTCTCTACTCACTGCCCTGTATGTTTTTCTTGTTTGCTCTCATCAGGAATAGTTGTCAGTTCCAAACCAATATTATAGGTCCATGTACAGTAGTACATAAATAAAACGTCAGCAGGAGATGGAGAAAGGAGATTCCGTAAGCTGGCGGTCAGATCCCCTGCTCCACCAGTCCGCATAACAAAGTGTCCCTGGGCAAGAGACTGACGGCCGGCAGTGTGTGAATAGTGCGTGATAGAAAATAGAGTTGTATAAATGAGTGAATGTGACTTGTTGTGTGAAGTGTTTTGAATGTTCTTGTTCATGAAAATCTATTCAGCTGCTGGCTGTAGATTTATTTTCACTGTATAGACACAAGAGAAGAATCAGTAGAATCATCTAACGCTCCAAAGGGGATCAGATAAGTTTAGAGTATATAAAAATATAAATCTTTTAAAGCTGTAGTTTTATCTGTTAAGGTTTTGACATTTGTGAGATTTCTGCTTCAATATAATTGGACAGCTATGGACTTTAGATGTTTCACTGCATTGAAACATAATATTTATTAAAAAAATGGCATTTTGTTCGTGTTTAGTTTGGAACTTCTCTCTGAAGAAATAATTTCACTGAAAACAGTTGTGTAGAGGGGGGGATCTGAGGCAGATCCACGTACACAAGTATCCAGGTGGACTGATTTATAAAGGGGACATGGTTTTAAATGGTCTATATATATTGAGCTTTTCTAGTCTTGACGACCACTCAAAGTGCTTTCCAGTACAGTTTTGCCATTCACCCTTTCACACACACATTCATACACTGCATCTATGGGCAGCACTTTATTCTATGCAAACAGTTCAGTATCCTGCCCAAGGACACTTTGGCATGCAGAATGGGGAAGACTAGGATTGAACCGCCGACGTGTTATTTGGGTAAACTGACCATTTAAAGGTAGGGTTGATAAGTTATTTCTGAAAAAACAACTGAGGAACTGACGATAGCTGTCAATTACTAAAATCATCTGAAAAAAAAGGAAAAAAGCTGATACTGTAATAAACTATCAATTATTTTATTTGGTCTGAAGGAAATAGTTGATCATGTCTGATCATGCTGGCATACCTGTCACTAACCGACCTACCTGCTTACACCCTCTCCTGTGCTGTCTCTGCACCTGACTAGTCTTCACAAGATGGAGAGGCATACACCACTGAAGCAGCAAAAAGTTAGCGAGCAGGTCGAGGGAAAAGTTGCCTCCTTTAGCAACTACAAGCAGGTTACCATTCGCAGGCCTCCGAGCAGCTTTCAGGCAGTGCATGTTTATGTGTTTTAGTTTGGTGTAGCTTTGATGAGAGGGCCGATGGGAGGATTGGGATGTATCGTTTGCATATTTAAGCCTGCTCTTGTTAGCTCTCCTGGGGTTATCAAGCCTAGCTCTAAGACTCGAAGGAACTTCCACTTCGGAATTGAGAATCGATTGTGAAATCGAACCAAGACTGCATTAAACCTGTGTCAAGGCGCTCAGAGTTTTGCCAATCTCTACAGGCCTTGCGTCATCTTCTGTCTGACATTATACACAACACACACACGTCCTGTGTGGCTGTGGCTCAACAGGAGGTGAACAGCAGTCTGTTGTCCTTGGGCAAGACACTGAACCTCCAAATTGTCCCTGACGGCTGCGTGTGATTGATGTGTAATAGAGAAAACACTGCATGAATGTGGCTGCCTCTAGGACGTTCTGATCTAAAGTGCGACGGTTTGTGCCGAAGCTTGGATATAACTTTCGATGATGCAATTTATATTTATATGTGACTACAATAGTGAGTTGTGTGTGTGTGTTTGTGTGTGTGTGTATCTCTACCTTTCTATCTATCGCTTTATTTCAATCTGTTTACATTCTTTCTTACATTGTTTAATCAGTGATTTGTAATCCTCTATTTGGGTTTTGTCCTGTTTTCCTTCTTATATAAATTACACACACACACACACGCACAGCAGCACCATTGTTGTCCATCAGATAAAGTTCTGGGCAGCGTCTCCCTGGTTCAGGCATGTTTAACGGGGCCTGGGAATCCCGTCTGGCCTCCCTATGTAAACTCTCACCTCTCTTCAGGGGATTGTGGGGCATGACCTCTTGTAAAAGGGTCAGTTCAGGGGGCACTGTGGTATCACACACTGGCTCAAGCACCAACTGCAAAAACATAAAGGCCTGGAATGTGTATTCTGCCGAGAGTATTTAGGACCAACAATAAACCATTATTTGCTTCACAGAGTGTGCTTTAACCTCTGCTGTGATTCTTACTTCTCGTCTTCCCTGCATCTGATGCAGCAGATGAGGAGACAGGTTGTCCGTCTTTCTGTGCTGTCATTGGTCCAGGAACAATGTCTCTGTTATTCAGGATTTATCCACGAAATGTGGACGGGAACTACTTTGAATCTGAGAAATAGTCCTCCACTGTAGCAAAAAATGCCCTGAGACCAGGGGCAGCTGGCCAATAGGGGGTGATAGGGCGCCTATAAATTCCCAGTTTGCCTGCTGCCTCCGAATATCATCGTCCAATCAGCTGCAGTGTCGAGCCCTGTTCATTAGAGTATGGGACAATTTCAATCTGGTTGAAAATCGCAGACAGCACCTCTCATTGACTGTCATTGTAAAACGTTTTTTTTCAAACTGCACGCCGTCCCTGCCATCTCGCCAGTTTAGATTATTATTAGATTAAATTATTCCAGCTGGCTTGCTAACATTAGATAACCAGTTGGACCAGACTGTCCAGAGGTGGCAGATTTTGAGGTTTATGCCGTGTGCAGTCACCTGGACTAAGATAATCCCTTCATGTTGATGGTCAGTGAATCCTTCAGAAAAGCAGACTGGCTGCATGTTAAACCATAATCTCCTCTGTAAGTATTTTTGTTTAACAAGGAGGATGATGTGTAAGCTGAGCTGAGTTATTAAGGGGATGTACTGAATGACATTTGCAGCTTTATAATTAGAAAATTATGTAATTACTTGCAATTATGTATAATTGGTGACTCCTCTCAAGGCAATTCATTGATTAGCTGATT